GTGGGCATCAGTAGTTTTTTGTGAGGGGCTGTTCGGTGCCCTTGGGGTAGGTTATGGCGGCCGGCCTTCGTATTCCTTCTCTTCCTGATAACCTTTTGTGTGTGTGTGTGTGTATGTGTGTGTATACACACGCATATATATTTTATTGAAGTATAGTCAGTTTACAATGCTGTGTCATAACCTTTTGAACTGTTTCATAAACTTGATCATGACAGTTTTATTATTATTATTATTATTATTATTATTATTATTATTATTATTATTATTATTAAATTTGTAGCTGGGAAAGTGTCAGGACGTGAAGCACAGATAATTGCGTGGTGTCGGAATCAGAAAAAGAATCTAAGGCCTGGGCCATGGCTGCGGGCGGGACCGGGCTCTGCCTGACCTCCCGGCTCCCTCTCGGGGGCGCTGCCCCGCCTTACCTGGGCAAGTTCTGTTTCGTCCAGAAATGCCCTGGGCTGTAATGAGTCCCCACGTCAGGAAATGGGGTCTGAACTTGGTATTTTATGTAGTTACTATGAAAGTACAAGCTGGTTAACAGACTATAAAGGAAGTTGACAGCTGTTGTGTTGTCAGATTTTTGTTTGGAGAAAATGGAACCATAAATTGAACAGGGTGGTCCTACAGGGGCCAGCCCAGCCCGGGAGCCTTCTTGCTGGAAAATGGCATGAAATGGACTCGTACTCAGAGAACTGTGTCCAATTCCGGGCTGACTCTTTTGTCCTCGTTTGTGTCTCCAGGTGACAGTCTCTTCCAGGCAGAGATGCAAACCTGTGTTACTGAAACAGACGTTGTCAATACAGCTGGCGCTCATTTTGATGGAAAGGCCTTGTCTTCCCGTCTCCCTTTGGAACCGTCTCCAGTGCAGGTTACGTCTCTAGGCTGAGTTAACTTATTGCTTAACTTACGAAGAAACCAAATACAAACGCCTAGCGTTCAGTGATACAGGCTTATCTCAACGTTTCAGTAAGCACGTTGGGCTGTTTGTCCTGTTGTACAATTTGACTTGGAGAAGCGCAGTGGTCTCATGGTTCCTGTGCACTTGGGGCTCGGCTAGTAAGTTCTTCAAGGAAGAAGGTGCGTCTCTGAAAGGGGTGGGCGATTCTCGCTCACAGATACTCTTGGGAAACTGCTCCAACTGGCATTTTTCTGAGCTGCCGTGTTTCAGGAGTTGAGGAGCCTTGGCTGGGCCTCTGGATCGTGTTCAGGAACATGACGGGGCAGCGACCGCCGGTGGGTGAGTGTCCTTCAGACGTTCCACGTGGAAACATGGTACTGCGAGTCACGGCACACGGCCTTGCCCCCCGGGGCCCTCTGCCTCTGCTCTCTGTGTTCGGACAGTTTCGGTGCCATGGCCAGGGAGGGGCCCGTATGGGCAGGGAGGCCAGTCTGCACCCACAGGACTGTCCATCCTGGCCAGTGGCTCACGCGCTATGATTCTGGATGTTTCTGGAAGAAATCCTAGTATTTGCTCCCACGACCCCAAGAGTATACGTTGTGAGACAGTGACTTCCACACCTTCGCATCTTTCTGTGTCTTGAACACTTGTTCTCTTCACTTTGTCGTGAGCCTCTTTGGAGGACGAAGAGGACTAGAAGCATCGGCCTTTCCTGTCTGGGGGAGAGTTCCCATCTTGGTTCCCTCTTTGTGGCTCAGAAAGGTTTTTATGTGCTTATTTTCAAGATGCAAAAAGTATATGTATTTGCCACTGGGTGCCCAGGAGCCGGGAGGGAGCCGTCCTCTAGAAGAGAGGCAGAGGAAGGTTTGAGTTGGAGGCAGGAGAGGAGGTTGGGTGACCTCAGAAGTGACGAGGCTGCTTCCGAGGTGAGCTGTGGGCTGGGGAGACGGAGGCCTCTTTCCTTGATGGTCTGAGTCTGGTCCACAGAACAGTTTCTATTAAGAAAGGACCCTGCCTAGGCAATCTGGGTTTGAACCAAGGAGCCTACCTCCAAAACCATGTGGACCTATTTTGGTTCCATTTCTGCTCTCCAAGATTTAGTTCCCAGGGACCTG